GTGTGTGTGTGTTTTGCATTCAGCAAACTGTAGAGTTCCATCCAGATGGACAATTTCTTCTTAAATGAAACAGTTCTGGCTTTCACACCCATTACCTTCTGAGGCACTCACAGTAACCACAAAGGGGAAAGGGTGGATTGTATCATATCCGTTTTACGTGGGTCTCGACCAGAGTTTCTCCACTTTGGCACTGTTGACATTTGGGGCGGGAGGATTCTTTGTTGTGAGGGCTTCCCTGTGCGCTGTAAGATGTTTAGCAGCATCCCTGGCTTCTAACCACTACAGGCTAGTAGCACCCCTCCACCCAGTTGTGACAACCAAAAATATGTCTAGACATTGCCAGGTGTCCCCTGGGGAACAAAGTCACCCCTGTTTAAGAACCATCGGTTTAGAGGGTTTGAGTGAGGCGTGGGAATGGGGACAGCTCCCAGACTGTCAGCCCCAGCATGCTTTGCTGTCTCCCATTTGCTTGAGCCCTGCATGCCTCTTTACAGAGACCTTTCATTAACTTATTTCCACTTAGACCTTCTTGACTGAGCCATCTGTTTCCTGCCCGTTCGAACCAATAACCCAAAACTTAGGACAAGAACTCAAACTGGACACTTGAGCACACTGTGCCTACTTAGCAACAACTTGCCTTCCAGCAGGCTTCCCGCTGCCTGCCAGCCTCTGAATGTGCCCTCCTCTCTCCAAAACCTCCTAATCCGCGTCTCTAATGCTCTTAGGGTATTCTTCTCTCTCCATCTTGGGTTATTTCCGTCCTGTCTTTTTGCTTCCACTGGACTTGGGGCTTGGGGAGGGAAAAAGAAAGGGACTGTATTTCACCCCATTTACATGAAAATGAAATTATATTTTGGGTTGTTTCCCTTTTCCTTTAATACTTGGATATGAAATATATTGAAATATTATTTAGAACATTTTTTAGGACTTTCATAGATTGTTTTAGAACAACCTATGAAACTTTAAGTTTTCAGAACCTTCCTAGATTGCTCACCTTTTAGTTTCTTAGGGGAAGGAGGACTCCAGGTATGGTGCCGCAGGACTGGGAGGGGTTTAGTCCTAGCTAGTGGGATCGACTGGCTCATGGCATTTGTCAAAGCTCTTTAAGAGCCAAGCAAGAGGTTTTTCTTCATTTAACAGAGATCTCTGGGCACCTGTGGACCTTCAGGTGGTGATTTTGAGAGTGTCCTTGGGTCCTTGGAACTGAATAGCACCACTCATCAAACCATTGTCCACTTGGTGGCAGGTAAACTTGCTGCTATGGTCGGCACTCTACACGGGTATTTCATTTCAATGCAAGCTGACTTAAATGTACTCTCTACGCCTCCACGCCAAGTCTGCAGGCAAACATGTAGTGCATGAATAAATAGATCCAAATTCGATAAGAAATTAGTTAATAACATTTCAGTGGAAATGAGGTGAGGAAAGAGGAGGAGGGTAGGTGAGTTGAACTTCTACAGTGGGGAAGGCGTCAGTGGTAGCCTTGAAGAAGTTATTGTCCAGTCCTGACTATGGGCAGCCCCCACAAGCACAAGTAAGGAGTCGGGGCCAGGGGCCTGCTGGGGCTGGTGACATGGACACGGTAGGGGGAGGGGTTGCCAGCACACCCCAAGCTCTGAGGGGGAGACAACAGCCAAAGAGAGGCAGCAGGAGGACAGAGAACAACAGTCTGAGAAGTTGGGCCAAACCACAGAAGCAGCAGAAGCTGCCAACAAACGGTGGACCCTGGGAAACGCAGAAGGCCGAAGATGGGATCGGTACCCCAGGAAACAGCCAAAAATCCAAGTGTGCGAGCTCACTTTAATGCTCAGACAGCCTGGCGGGGCAGGAAGGACATGAAGAAACATAAGCCGCAAGAGCTGGTGTCCAGCGAGCCAAGAGAAGGGGCTTTCTGGGTCAAGGAGACCAGAACTGCAGCCTGGCAGACAGGGCCAGGTTGGGATGGGCCTCAGAGAAGAACATGAGGGCAGGGCCACTGTGTCATAGGCATCCTTGAAGATAAGCCAGTGGAAAGAGCTTCTAATGGCAGATGCAGGAAGCGGCAGCTCGGCTGATTCTGGACCAAGGGTCTTCTTCTCTCTGCCCTGCTTTTATGCACCTCTTCTGCTCCCCAGAATGAAGTAGCAAGTCTCTGCAGGTCTGTGGCTGGTGGCTGCAGTGCAGTCAGAAACCTAGATCCTCTGGGGACCTCTCTGCTCCTCCAGAGAGACCCCAGGGGCATAAATGAAGCAATCCACAATACAGAGAAGCATTTCACCATCTCAGAAAAGTGTCCCAGAAAGGTGGATCTGAAGGAAAAAGGTTTTTCTGAAATACGGGCAGTAACTTTATGAACACAGAATACAGGGTTATCTCAGAAGAGATAACCCCAGGCGCGCACGCACACACACCCATACATGCACACACACGAGTATGAACACAGTCTCTGTCTCTATATCTCACTGATAGCTTATTTTCAATCCCTTTTTTCAAAAGAAGGAGCTCCCTCTATCAGCCAGGACACTGCACCATACCTAGGGTCCTCCGTGAATCTTCCATAACTCACTGCTGGCCCGTATAGGCTATGGGATGGCCCTCGCTAACGTGGGCAATCGAAAGCCAGTTCAACGGCCAGGGAGGAGCATGTGTCAGGCAATGGTGCTGACCCCAGTGCCTCTGGTTACTATGACTTCAAGGTCACTAGGCAGTTTTCCTAGTGTCTCACCCCTATACTTTCTGTCAAATTCAAATTGACCTGATAAATACCTAACCTAACTCTATCCTGAATGTCAGATCTGTATTTCCATTGGCCAACTATCAGCATGTTGCAGACACAGCTCAAACTCAAGGTGCCCCCAAACTGAAATCGTGTTCCCTGGAAAATTTGCTCTCTGCTGTGTCCCTCTTCTGTCACTGTGTTCCCTGAGCTACACACGTTGGCATTAGTCTTTAGACTAAGCAATTAGACTGAGCAAGTCTACCTCCTGGGTATTTGTGACCCTTCCTCCTGTTGCTGCCATAGAGACACCTCCCCGGCACACACCTGGGCCACAACTCCATCCCTGTTGCTCTCCTGACCTCCTGCCTTTACCCCACCCCCAACATTCCTGCCACAGATGTCTTCCACGTGCACATGTATGTCACTCCCCAGTTTAATATCCTTCAGGGACCCCGAATCACATTCAAAAAGAAGTCTAATTCCTTGGCAAGGCCAGCCAGAGTCTGAATCAGGAGCCTCTGACCCTTCGCTCTCATCTCTAGCCATAACAAAATACTCCTGTGTAGGGCTCTTGCGCGCTTCTGAGCCAGACCCTCTCACCCCAGTCCCCATGGACTTGTTGAATGCCATATCCTTCTGATTGCTGGCTTTCTTCTGTTTCCACCTCAAGGATGTGTAGTGTTAGTGGACAAAGGCAGTGCCTTGTCCACAGTGGAATCCCTTGCCCTGTGACTTGCACACAGTGGGCATCAGACAAAAGTCCGTTGAGTGAATGATCTGCAACAACACTGCATCAGGGGCTATGATAACAAGGATATCAGCGGCATAGACTTGTCTTAGAAAAGTCCCTCTATCCCTTTAGAGCTTCATGGTCATAAAGTCACAGTTCCAGAACGACTCCTTTTTGATATGGATGTATACTGGGTTTGTTAAATTGATAGCATATATTTTATTTTAAAAATGAAACGTAATTAATGGGGGGAGGGCATTGTTCTACCCCCCCCCTTTCTCTTAACTATTTGTTTCGGATAAACTATTAACCCACTTAAAACCGTTTCTTCTGCACAAATAGCTGTTGGAGGCTGTGCGGTTTACCTGCTGATACTCGTCTGAAGGCGTGCATTCAGACACCTGCAGGCAGAACTTTCAGGACCTCCCACGACAATCCTCACTTTAGATCTTTTTGTTCTTCTTCTTTCAGTTTTCCCGTCGCAGAGCAGAACAGAATAACCGAAAATGCTTTGCCTCACAACTTTCAGGAGCGAAAACCGGGTGCCCAAGAGAAGGCAAGGATTTCTAAGTGCCCGCTTAAGATCCAGCCCCTCCATCATCACGGCTGAGGCACCAACGCTTGTCACACGTGAAACCCGTCCACTCCTCCAGTCTACCACCTAACGCATATCTGCAGTCTGCATGCCCGTCATTAATGGTCTCCCATAGTTTCCGCCATCAGACAGACTGCGGAAGTAGCGGATCAAAAAGTTACCTTTCTTCCCTTGGAAAACTCATTTCCCCAGAGCTGTTAGGGAGGTGAAAGAAATCACGTGACCCCCTGGTCACAATGCAGAGGTTTCCTCACGTGGCTTACGATCAAGCCAAATTGAAGAATAAAATAAAACCCCATTGGCGCAGCTGCAGCGCGACCCGCGGGGCGGGGCCTCGGGGGGCGGGGCCAAATGCTGGGACCTCGGGGGCGGGGCCTCCGGC